CCCCAAAACCCCAAAACCCCAAAACCCCAATAGGTGTTCACCCAATTGAGTAATAATATTAGTTATCAGGAACATGAGTGATAGCAAGCCCAAAAAGCCTATAAAACAAGAAGACACGCAGCAGGACATGGATGAGGCTCAAGACCTCTCCCAGTGGTGCATGTGCCCGCCAGAAATAACTCAAGGTGAGCTTAATGACGTTCTATTGAAAAATTAGAGCAGGTTTAGAACCTCAGTAACTATAGTGCCAGAAGCTGTAAAGCTGGCGATGGAAGCTCCTCGTATTTCTAGTGGACTTTGCTTGCTAATTTGCTCGAAATATCTAATAATATCTTTTGGATTTTTAGGAAAAATACTAAATTTTCTTCATAATATTTTTTGGATTTTTGAGATTTCTTGGAGTCTTAAAATTTAATAAAGTTAAAACCTGAAATATGACAGCTCTGGGCTTATGCAAATTCTCTTATATGGCATGTTCGGTGACATGGAAACTCATTATCTAACCATCGGAAATTCGAGGCTCATATAAAATGTAGAGGAGCAATTAAGAAAGAGTTTCTTTGGTTATCCACGAAAATCTTTTGACCTGCGAATAAATCTAGCCATCGCTTCTCATAAGTACTTGGGTGGAATATCATTGATAGCAATATTTGAGGATTATAGATGAGGACTAGATGCTAAGAAATAAAGCTGATGTAGATAATATCATTAGTCTTGAGCTTCCAACACTAACAAAGACTTGGCATCATATTTATCACTAGTTTCGCCCCTTTCTCTTAGTTACAAAATGAAGCTTTGTGATGCTATCAATTTTTTAGTTCTAAAATTTATTAACATCTAGAGCAATGACAACCCACGAATATGACCAACCAGAGTCTCTTTGTTCAAGGTAAATACGGATACAGCTGTTTTAAGCCTCTCTGTGCTCTGTTGGGCTATCAGTAAGCACAAAAGGGGCTTAAGCAAACAGTTTTCACTTGAGAAATCTTTTTACTTTTGATGAGGGTGACAATGATAAAAATTAAAGTTTTCCCTAACGACAGCTTGGTATTTCGGCAAAAATTTCAGAGATTTATTACCAGTTCTTTAAGCGATTCCGAACCCCAAGAAAGTACTTAAAACTCCACTTAAGCTTCCATCATTGATTCTGGGTGCATTAAGGGTCTGTCATGATAAGTCTGCTGTTTCGAGCAATTTGAATATCAAATATATTCTTGATAGCAGCTGAACTTTTAAAATTATCTTGCAAATAATTTGAAGATAAACCCAACAAGTTCACTTCAATTCCACTTATTTGTTATCAGAGAACCTTCTGAAGAATATTTAGAAATTTAGTTGCCTCGATAGCTTCCTTTGTTGGTCGGGAAAGAGTGCCTATTTGAAGAAAATTCAATATGGATGGGTAGGTTAGGCTCAGGTTTAGCCATCTACAAGATCTCAGGCTCATTTATAGCAATAAATTATCTCAAGTTGATCAATTGGCAGTAAATATTTTTGAAATCTGGTGCCTGCCCACTCTTTTAAGCCAACTAAAGCTTTGAGTTGAGCTTCATTATTAATAATTTAAATTTTTTAGTTAATAAAATGGAGAAATCTAAGAAATATAGTTAAAAAAATCTGGGCAAATTCAAATCTATGAACACTTTTAGCTTAATCATTAAGCTCCACTTCCAAAAAGAATTCTGAAATATCTCTGAACGTCCTTCTTGGTAGGATTTTCTTATAATACACCAGTTCGTTCATCTTGAAAACTTTTTGGGGACCTAAATCGATTATTTTTACTAAAATTCATGAGCTTAAAATAATGCAGCTGAGATTTGGTCATATTAAGCCATCCTGATGATAGCTTCGGTCTCACAAAAATAGCCCTGTTATAATCTAAGCGAGAGGTAAGCCATAGTTTTAATAGCAAATCAGGTGGAAATATTTTTAGTTAACTCATTTCATTGATCAAAAAGAGTTTGTCAGTGTACTCCAAAAGACTCCAGCAAATTTCAAAGCGAGTTCCTGATGTATAAATTGCACTCTAAATATTTGGCCATCTTCATAGGAAATATATCTTCCCAGACGAGTTGATAGTAGTAAATAAATTTGTGTGAATTAACAGCTGACTTACCTAAAATCATGTGCTAAGGATGCTAGCTTATGATCACTTTAGATAACAGGAAGGTTGCTTTCTACAACATTAGATATACCTACGTAATAACGATGCATATTTAAAAGCGTGTAGAAGTCTTTTAAATTTAGGATATATCCCAAACAATTTGAACGATAAATATAGGGACGAATCCGGAGACTCCTCCTTTACTGTGTGAAGTGTCTCATCCTCAAGATATGAAGGTGAAGATGACCATAGAGGACGATAATAAGGTCAAGATTAACATAATCATCAAGAAGCATCCCCAAGGTAAATATTTGGCAAGAAATTAACCCCCAGATGTTGTGCTTAACTCCCGCATTAATATCTAATCAGGCTAGATCATTCAGATTAAGTTTATATTAAGATCTCACCATTCCACAAGCTTAGGGGGTATATTAGTATGCCTATTGTTTCACTAATGAGCTATTTTAATCCTTATTCCAAACTCCAACAACCAATTTTATCGAGACTTCTCTCATCGATTCATACATTTTTAGAAATAAACATTTTAATATATATTCACAATCTTTTTGATATTTTTAAAAAAAAATTCTTACTTCTACTTGGGCTAAAACGATTCTAGAAATGAAGAGCCTCCAAAGAAAATCTGATAATGAAGAAGCCAAAGAATCATGTCAAGAGGCAAACAATGAAGAAACTAAGGAACCTAGGTCTAAGAGAGGTCGAGGCAGACCAAGGAAGTACCAAAATCCAGATTTTTACACAAGAAATACTAGATTAGACATCAATGACAAGACTCTAATCAGAGCTGTGAGAAGAGAATTTGTCCAGTGGTTTAGAGTCTTCTGTATAAGTACAGGACTCCATACCTCTGACGTCCAGCTTGATGATCATGCTGAGATTCTCAAAATGAGGTTTGAGATGAGCGATGGTGAGTTCGATAATGCCATGGATGCCTTCATTCCTCACATTCTACAGCAAGAAACATCTGATGCTGTGAATTCACTGTACAATCAAATGGAGAACCTCAAGGACTTCCTGACAGTGCTGATTGACCCTTCCAAAGGCACTTCAATCATGTTCCCTGGAACTACCAGACTGCTGAAAGACGAGATGCGGAGTCTGTTCTTTTCTTACTCTCACAGAAAGTTGGAGGTATTCTTGGCAATGCCAGAGATGAGATATGTACTACACAAAACACTGAACTCTGAATACATTGACACTCTGATTGCTAAAAACTCAACACTAAACGAAAGCGAAGCCTTATACAAAGAGTGTGCAGAGAAGATCATGGATAAGGTTACCAGACACAACAGGGCTGCCCAAATGTAACTTCGGTGGCATCTCTATCTGTTCATGCTCTGAATCTGACTGGTCTACATTGAATTCTTTATTCCAGTTCAATTGCAAGCTTCTATCTCGGGGTTTTGGGGTTTTGGGGTTTTGGGGTTTTGGGG